GAATAAAGAACAGCTTAACAAAGCCAGTAACACACAAAACATCAAAAGTATACAGCATATCACAAAATAATGCATGAAGGATAAATCAAAACCAAAGGCAAACTCTACATTATCCTTCAGCACACATATTTTGTATGTTCCATTATAACAGGTAAGCACTAGATCAACAAAGAGGTAATAGCTGTTTTGTGACGTGGAAGATGAAACTCCTTCCGCAGGTTGTGCTGTGAACACAACTTAACCTGAAATCAGATGAGAAAAATATTTTCTATTGTACCTGTAGCGTTTGCATACGTCCTTTTCACAGCTCTAAGCCCTTTGAACTTTAAAGAATAAAAATAGAACACATTACGTCATCTAGCCTGAATCACTTCCTCTTTCTACATTTCCTTAAAAGCCTTAAAATAACAGGACAAGGTCTGGTTCCTTCAGTGCTTCCACATTTGTATAATTTAAAGTCCCACATTCAAATCCACAAAACCAGACCACATTTTTATTGTTGTATTTGGCTGGTTTCGTTGTTTGGTTTTTTTACTGTTGTGTTTGCTCTTTTCTGTTTTATTAATGAATTAGACTAAAACCAGAACATGCAACATTTTTATCAAAGCCAGTGAAAGATGCAAGTGTGTTTAGGACTTGCATCAGAAGCATTAATTCAGCAAAGAGTAAATGCTGTATACTGAATATTTGACTAACACACCCTCTGCTAATTCACCTCTAGAGGAATGAAACAACATGCAGTATGAACTGATTGGGAGCCTAGTATGCTTATGTAGAATGTCCATCTGTAATTCCAGCAACCACTTGAGAACCATGCATTAATTTTCTGGAGGTAAATTCAGAAGTGTATTTTGCTGATAAATACTTTCTCAAATATGATGAATGTTTATGTTGTGATTTAAATGGTTGAATGAGAATAAATTTACTGATGCATTAAAAAGAAGAATCATTTGCTAACACCTGTGAAGTTTCTGTAAGGAATTTTATTTATTTATGTGCTGTTTTATTTATTATTTCTATTTTACTCTAAACCAGATTTTAACATATAGTATTGAAATTGTAACATTATTATATATAGTGTTGGAATAGTCTAACACTCAAAGTCCCCCACTTTTGAGGGGAAGTAACAGATTACATGAATTAATTTCTTTGCCCTTATTTTGGGAAAAGCAATGGCAATGGCAACACATTGCCTTTTGAAACAAAATGCCTACTTTAATTTGTAACAGTCATGGTAACTTTTTTGTGTGTTTTATATTATGTTTTCTATTCTATAAAATATCTTATATAGAGGAAAAGAGAAGTTTAGGACAGAAAACAAGTAGCATAACCTATGTTCCACTACTTTTAGCAGCTATGGCACTACAAGCCTCCAACCTAGCTATGTTTCACGGCTTGGAGTACTAATCATGTTCTTGGCAATTATGAGGTGAAAAATCTATGTTTCCTGCTTCTCATGCCAATTTGGACTTGTATTTTGTTAGTATTTCTCAAATAAAAAAACTGGAAGGAATTTGTTAAAAAAATATTATGAGGTCATGCAAAAAGAAAAAAAAGTAAAAATAAAAAGTAATCCTAGAAACAAAACCATCACAGTACACAAACATTAGTTATGTGCTTAGAAGGCTGATTTTGCTGGGGAAGAAAAGGAGCAAATTGCTGGAAAACTGTAGTAACATCACTTTGAATATTGCGCTTTTTTTCCCCTGAAACTCTGGGGGAAGAAATTGTTTTATTTTAAACAATTTGAACCAAAAGTTCCCTAGCTACAGTCCACGAGAAACTAGCTGGTGCTGCTTCTCATTTGCTGTTACTTAACTGCATTAAGACACAACTTAAAACAAAACCTTTCCTAATCAAGATGAGCTTCCTTTGTCAGCCATTTGCCTGGAATTGCATAAAATGAGAAATCCATATAATGATGTTAGATATCACAAATGAGACACGAATTGTTCTCTGAGCCAACTGTTTGTATAAGGGATGATCTATGTGCTCAAAAGCCCTAGGAACCCTTGGTTTAGGTAAATTTGATTCTCACATCACAACATAAAAGCTCTTAGAGGTTTTTTCTGTGAAAACAGTATAAAGAGCTATGCCTTTTCAAACTACTGAGAGAAACCTTTAAATCAACCTCAGATGGAAAGAATGACGAAGCAAATATTAAAACTAAAAGTAAATATAATATATAAACATATATATTAACAATTCTAAGAATTCATTTCTTCATGGAGGCTGAAGAAAAACAGTGCTATTGCTTCACTCCAAAGATAAGTGTGCCACTGCATATTTTTGTGCTGCAGAAATTATTGGAAAATAAAAATAAACCATAGGACTAATAAAAACCTACTGAATTTTAGAAATAGATTCAGGACAATATGCTATCCCTCTCTCTCTCAAAAAAAAAAAAAAAAAAAAGGCACTTTCTTGAACAAAGTAGAAAAATCTGCTAAGTTTACAGCATTATCCAGCTTCTTACAGCCTTCACTGCTGAATACCTGTATAAATTACTACATTTAACATTTGTTCTGTCATTAAATTATCCCATTAGTTTGCTATGCAAAGCTTCTGTTATTCACATTTTAAGCAAAAAAAAATGCATTGTTAAAATTTATCCAAAGATATATAGCTTACCTACATTTAATGATTTTTTAATAAACTGCTTCCTATAAAAACTTCTGAGATTATGTAAGACATTGTACACAGGAAATATCTATATGTATAGATACACACGTGGATCTTACGTAGACTTGTCTACACAGGAATTTATAGTGAACAATGAGTTCAAAAACAGTCATTCATTTGCCCTAGTGATACTGTTTGATATCACCAAAAAGCCTCTCTATAAAAACCCTCTGCCATCTGAACTTGATCAAAGCCTGGTAAAACCAAAGGAAAGATTCACTTCAGTGTGAAATACTTCAAACCCCTGGCCTAGATTTTTATTTACGTAGGAATTACAGATCCCTTCAGGTGTTCACTGAGTAACTAATTTCATAGTCAGCTCTTCTTATGTGTTTCCAAAAAGGAAGTCTTCCGCTCCTATTCAGCAAAGTCGTACTAATTAAATGTAGGATGTTGAAAAACAGTGGCCATGTTTTTAACCAAATAATTGTCTATTTTCGCTGGTGAGTACCCAATATTGTACTGCGTGCAAGCAAACAAGGGTTAGGGTGTGCCTGTCCGTAAGCAGGTTTGGTAAATTGCAGAAGTCTTTTTCCTGGGATGATTTAAAAATAGGTTTACAGTGACAAGCGCAGACAGAAGTATGCAGCTAACTGGACACACTCGGTTCTGGCTCAGAAACTACGCACCTATCTTAATACGCCACTGTACAGAAGGTAATAGGTGCTGCTGGGAATCCAAGTATATTACTATGAACATAGTATTGCATTGATGAGGCTACATAGCTTTGGAACCCAAATCTGCTCACACCTCGTCACCTTAAAGCATAAGAAAAGGGCACAAGTCATCTGTCCGACTTCCATCCATGCAGACACAGTTTCAGAGTCTGTGCCTTTATCAGCTGAAGCCATACAGGGGAAAGGAAAAGCAGCGGGATCCTGTCTGGGGAGGTTTTCAGCAGTGCAGGAAAACATAAAATGGACTGCCTTTCTTTTTTCAGCATCGGTAATATTTATTTTTCCTATCTTCTCTCACTTTTTATCTGTTTCAACCCTTCAACCTCACCACCCATTTCTGTCAGTGTCTCTCCCCACATGGCATTGCACTTCCAAAGCAGCTGCCACTGCCATTTCTTCCTTTGCAGGTCTCCTTGCTGCCTGTGAAAAATTTCAAGCAGCAAAGGTATGGAAGAAAGAGACCAATATATCGCATTAAATCTGATGCTAAGTTCCTCTGCAGCGTTGCCTATTATCACTTACAACAGTAAATCCTGTGATATGTGGTGTATTTTGACTCACAAGGTCATGGGAGACTCTTGACTTCATATTTTATTTGTGAATGTTTTCATTCCTCAGGGTTATGGAGAAAACTTTACATATGTGATCTGTAGTGTGAAAAGCTAGAAAATTAATTCTGCTTTTTACTTTTGTCATTTTTCAGTTTCTATCACGAGGTTAGAGTGTATCAAGATCTAAGACTAAGAATTCTGAGTGACCACTGGCTATGGGAGACTGTTAAGCATGACAGTCTCCCCTGTTAAAGAGCTTGGAGTTTGCAAAAATATCGTAGTGCTGTGAGAAAGCCTGAAGCACTGCCAGGATGGCAAAGAGAAAAACCCCAAGCATACAGCAGACCCACCGTGTCATTTTTACCAAGACGACTGACAGCTCCAAAAACTTAATTCCCTTATTATTCTGCATGTCCACCCCTCCTGGAACCATTACTACTAGTTCAATGTTAATCTTTTTAAATACAAACTTTACATTTTCTTCAATAAAACATTTGCTTTGCCCTTACTTTTTCAATTACTGTAAATTTCATCTTCCAACTCATTAAAAAGACAGCTACAACAACAAACTCCTTGCCACCACCTTCAAAGCCCTTGGACACCCTTATGACTTCTCCAGTTCTTCCTTCTTGCCACTTTACCCCATGACTGCTATTTTAAGGCAACTACGTCAACTGCTTGTGCACATCTCAAACAGAGTTAATGCACACCTCACACCAAATTCATCTTTAAAGCCACATCTGAACTAAGACACAACATAAATAATTTAGCTACAACTAGGCTAAGAGTGGAAGATTACTGTTTGTTTGTTATAGCACCTATGAATAATGAAGTTATTCATTGAATGTAATACATATATATTATATTTAAACACGAGCCCTCATTTCATATTTCTAGAATGCAACCACTTTGAACATGGAACCTTATCTTCTAAATCTCTACTGCAACACAGTCCCACCACAACTGTAACTGTCAGAATAAACAGAAATGTAAAAACCCAAAAGGCAGAGAATTTATAACGACCAGAATTCCACGTGTCAGGCATCAGAAAAATTGAACATGTAAGAGGATATCAAGTGATCCTGACAGAAGAAACAATAAAAAAAAAATAAATGAACAAACAAACAAAAACAAAAACCAAACAAACAAACAAAAAAAAAAAACAGAAGAAAGATTAAGCTTATGGAACATGAGAAATACTGTTAAAAAACTTGCCTAGAAAAATAAAACCCTTAATACAATAAAGAAACTGCCTCCATAGCAATTAAAATAAAAAAATTAATAGTGTTGGTAATGGAGAATTCTATGTAAGGTTAAATAGCATATGGGGAAATATAAATAAATAAAGAAAAAAGGAAAAAAGGAAAGAAAGAGAAGAAAGAAGGGAAGAAAGAAATGGAACAACAAAAGGTCTTCTGGAGGCATTTAACATGCATGAATTACAAGCGGTCAACACTCTGATCTAAAGGCAAGAAACATATTTCAAAAAGAGAAAATCATACCAAATCACAGAATGAGCTATCAATTCTGTGTGGCTATGAGAAAAAACACTCTATTAAATGACTCTCCTTACATTTTATTTAGATTACCTCTCTTACACATTCACAATGAATTCAATAAAATTGAAGGAAAGCCGTATGAGGGGTAGTTTATATGTAGTAACCTTGTACTAACTATATTGCTGCACAGCACCTCCTGTATTTAGGCCTGCAATGAGAAGATATTTTAGATGACCATTCTAATAGAGGAAGTAAAAAATGCTCTATAATGATCAGAAAACTTTGTTATCTTTGAAATTTTTGCTAACCTTTATTTTTTTAACCCGTATTTTATATGGGTTAAAATTATATCTATTATATATATGCAGCTCTGCTGCAGTTTTTAAAATAACTGAGAGAGGGAGAGAATATACACAAAGAATCAACACCTGTGTATTATAGTTTAGACCATATTTAAAGCATAGTTTACTTACCTGGTACAGCATGATAGGTTCTGTGCTGTATCCCAGTATATCAGCGAACTCCTTAGCAATAACTGTTTTGCCACATCCCTAAAAAGTTAAAAAGTAAGAACTAGATTACATTCTAAGGAACATAGAGAAGGAGGGAGAAAAGAAATTTCAATTCTTACTTTTCCTCCAATTAAACACATATCTTTAACCATATGGGATTGCATCATTTCTGCCAACAGCTGATTATGGCTGGAAGTCTTTATAAAAGTGTCTGATCGAGGATGCTTTTTTAACAGCCCAGTCCCAGCTGGAACCTATAAGGAAAAAACATAAATAAAATCAAAATGCTAAATAAGCTACACTGTGATAACTCTAGGCTTTGTGTGGCCTGGGTTATGCTTCTCCAAAACTACTGTAGTATTTTGCTGATGATTGTCATCTATCAAACTTGTATCTTTCACTTAAAAAACATTCAATCATACAACCTCTAACAGACAACCTCCTTCACAATTCCTTTGCCTCATTTTAATAAAAAACATAACAAAATGTGAACAAATTGAATTACAGCATTGGGGTCTGCAAAGAACTTGAGGCTGTTCCTGCTAGAGACAAAATATAAAAACCACCAACATTAATTGCTCATCAGGCAAACATGGAAGTGAAAGAGCAATCTGTATTGCGAAATCCTGAAGGAAGTACTTTGACCGCAACTTCGCAAAGTTTCAGTTGTATTCTACATTACAGCTCTATTTCCACTCCCCATTCTAGTCTGGGAACCATTTCATCTGCAAATTCCTTATGCTCTCCTGTTCCCAAAGAGACATTCTGCAGACCTATTTTCAGAAAGTATCACTTACACATCAAACAAAATTAAAAATCTTCCCCTCAAGAAAATTAAATCAGGTTTCTACTGACCTACCTCTTTCTGACAAATTCCCATTTGCTGCTGTTCCCCTTTTCACTTCGTCATGGTATAAATTCTCTGAGGATACTCCTCACCTCTCTCTGACTCTCACTAATTCTAGACTCTCCAAATTCAAAATTAACTTCAAATTGGCAGTTCAGCATGTTGCATGAGTAAGACCTTATTTCACTGCCTAGCACTTCATAAACTTCATCAGAAGAAACCCAAACTAACCATCGCTGATGTGATTACTTTTGTTCTGTTTTCCCAACATCTTCTATCAGAACATTACCAAACACTCATTAGATTTTATTTGAAGTGTAATGAAGACAGACTATTATCTTTATTAGAACAAAAAGGGAAAGCAGCACCAAAACCATCATAAGTACTCTGTTATTCTAAACCAATAATAAAAAAAAAAGGAAATTTAGAGGCTTTTCTTTCATCCATTCTTTAGTCATTCTTTTAACACAAGAAACGTCAATGAATCACATGTAGGAAAGTATGAGTTTATCTAGCAATAAAATCTTGTATAGCCATTATCAAATATTACAGTATCTAAATGTGTTTCTAAAAAATGCAACACTCTATCCAAAAGTATTCAGTGCAAATGTGTTTTTGTATCAACTGTGTCAAAATCTCAATGAGATGAAAAAAGTTAATATCTAAAAACATACATAGTTTTATGAAGATATAAATTCATACCTGGAATGTCACTTCTTTTTCACCAATCTGGACAGTTACATCAGCCTTGAAGGGTTTGTTTCCATGTGCCCTTTCTACTTTGGTAATCCTTCGGGGAAGCAGGTGGCTTTCTGAATCCTGAAGCTCAAAACGCTGTAGAATTAGGGGATGGAGCAAATTAATTATTATATACAGCTTTCTGGTTTTTAAACGTGTTCCTTCGGAAAACAAGGCCACATATATATATTCAAGTGCTTGTGAAGCCCTAAATACATTTACTTTACTTCAACTTTCACTTCACATAGCTGTGTTCACATTCATGTTGGCCTATACATTCTGCATTTAAAACCAAAGTAAAAAGATTGTATACCATCTACTTTTCTCTAACTGTAGTGACAGAAGTAACGTGAAAATGTCATATGGTGACTTTGCCAAGTCTTAGCCTGACAGACCAAAATAATAAAAGAAACAGATGATAGCCTTTAGCATGTGTACTAATAGATCACCTATCTCTGCAGGTCATGATAACCAATTGTGGATTTAAACATCTGGCTACCAATAAAAATAACCATCAAACAGTATGTTTACTTAGCTCCACAGCCTTATCATACAATGAAAATTGAGGATTACCTGTACAAATTAAGCCTTCAGCATGTTCTGGGTATATCAAAGATAAAAAAGGGGACATTTGTCTTCCCAATTCTCTTTTAAGCATTATATTCTGGTTTATGCTGTATATTGGAAGCATGAAAACCAATTAAAATATCCTGTACAAAGTCTATTTTGTTAAGGAAGGGGATATCAGTCAGGGGGGTTTATACACAAAAGAGCCACCAATTGAAATTTCTGAACTCATAGAGCCACTTTATTCAACAGAGTAGAAGCTGAGTAAACCAGAGAAAAGGAGTATTATCCAACTCCTTAAAATCCTTTAAAAAAATAAAAAATAAAAATAAAAAGGGTTTGTTTAAACAGAAGTAACTAATGTAAAATAACTCTCTAAAAGCATGCAGTTTTATTACTATTGGGATTCACAGCACTGCCTGCTAAAATTTAGAAATGAGGTACTATGTACAGAACAATTGCAGTAGCTTATGCACCACCAAACTCAGCCTAAATGAAGATGACCATTTTTATAAATGCCTAGCAGTAGTACAGAGAAAAGAAAACTTCAATAGTGTGGGAGCCATATGTGCTTAAGCTTATTGTTTGGGAATGTTTAACTGGAGACTGTTGTCCTTGAAAGCAGCAATTTCTCTATATAAAAATCTTGTAGAGAAAAAGCTTAAATAAATTTTTACTTAACTTTGCAATCATAATTTCAAATGTTCATCTGTCAAAATAACTTTTGATGCCAGTATTTCATGCCAGTACAGAATAATTTTAAAGGCCAGAATTCAAACCAACTCATGTTTTCCTTTGCAAGACCTTCTAAGTTTAAGGTCTTCTTTAAAAATCAGAATAGAACTTGATACAGTTTCCAAAGTGCAGAAACTTCAAATAAGGGTATTCAAAGGCACATCATCCTCAAGTTTATTTTGGTAATTCTGTCCTGTCTGCTGCAAGCTAATGAACTAATGAATACTGCAAACTCTAGCACTTGTACAAATGTTCTGTATGTTATAGCAACTCTCTAGATCACTACTGATGCTGGTTTAGTGTGCAATCCACAGAAAATTTTTGATGCTAACTAGTTTGACATAAGGAGACACATTTCTATCAAATAAAAGAAGTTGGTTGATAGACAGAGTTAAGACTAAATCAGGTTTTAATTCCAACTAGATCCACTCAACAAGAGATTTGAATTTCAAAGCATCTTTAGATTAACACTGTAACAAGCTACTTTAACTCACAGGGAAAGTGTAAATCAGTATTTCACATTAATTCATTAGTGAAAATAGGGATTAAGAGGAATACCTAGGTCTTGATGGAGGTTTAGTGAGCAAGGAGGCACATAAGGAAAAGATTTACCCAGGTTAAAGATAAGGTTTGGAAAGACACTGCCTTGATAGTATGACCTCCTCAAGAATCATGTATTGGGTCTAACAGCTGCCAAAACTACCTAACCACTGGCTACCTCACTTCTCAGCTCCAACGGCTGACTGGAAGGGAAGATCTCCTTAAATTAAGATACATTATCAGCTAGATTACTACTTCCCCATATCTGTCTCCAAGTCTGATGCCTAAAGTTTATATTTCATGACTTTTTTTTAAATTTTCTTTAAATGATAGCTGGTATTAAGAAGTTATTCAATTCACACAAATTAACCCATCAACTGCAATACACATTGAGTATTTATTTTTCAACTCTTGATACCTCCCAGTTAAGAATACTGTATTAATTGTATTCTGTTACACAGAAGTATTTAATGGCAAATATTAGCTAGACACTCTTCGGAAATCTGTAGGAATGTACAGTAAGAAATCACCTTGCTGCTGTCAGCCTCCTCTACCTCGTATTTCTTACGAAATGGGAAAAAAATAATTTCTTACCCATATTTAATACAGTTTTGGCACTGCAAATATCATTACAAACAGAAGTTCCTCAGTACAACCAGTTATTTTCTGTATTTCTTAAGGTTCATTCCTCAACAAGATTTGTTGTGTGCAAATAGAATATAATTCCAAGTAAGATTATATGTACTTGTTGACATAATGGTACAAGTTTGTATAAGTAGCAATGAGAAAGTATTAATAAAGGAAAATTAACCCACAAAAATATAAATAATAAGGAGGTATTTTACTAGTCATATCAACCCATCTTACATGGGAAGCAAAACTGTGCACAACGCATAAAATTAAAGAAATGGGAAATGGAGGAAGCTGATGATATTGAACATAAAGACATTCACTGTCTGTAACTGACAGGGGAAACCAAATGACATAAAGGATTTAAAATAAAGGCATATCAAGAACAGAAATGACTGTTACTGCTCTGCTAGCAGACAGGAGTCTATTTCCACCCAGACCATGGCTCTTACGGGCAACTTCAATTACCCTGACATGTGGTAGAAGGGCAACATAGTGTGACAATCAATCTAGATTTCTGAGGCTGCCTGGAATAATGTCTCAACTCAGGTGCTGCATTTGCTTGGCAGGAGTGATGCACAGACAGCTCCTGCTATTCACAAACAAGGAGCAATTGGTTGTGGATATGGCAATCAATGGCAGCCTTAGCTGTATCATCCAGGAAATAATGGAGTCCAAAATCCTAAGGGAAAGTGATGAAGACAAGTAACAGATTGCAGATCCTGGATTTCAGGCCAGATTGGTTTATTCAGAGAAGTTGTAGGTAGGACCCCATAGGAGGCAGCTTTGAAGGCTCACAAAAGCTAGCAGGTCAACTTCAAATGCAAGGATTTTCCATCCCAAAACTCAGTAAGACAAGTAGACCAGCCTGGTTAAACAGGGAATACAGGACTAAGCTCCAATGCAAAAAGGCAGCATATGGGAGGTGTCAGCAGGGATGGGCTACAAACATTTTCATGACACATAGGCTTGATTTTAGGAAAAATAAAAATTCATTAGCTACAAAGTTGGTTATTTCTAATATTCACGTACAAATAACTTCTAATTTTCAGAAGTGAGAGCTGGTAAAGATGCTCTAAGATGTGAATGCTTATTTTCAACAGCATACAGAACTCCTACAACATATTCAAAAGCAAAAGAAAGCTGGCACTGCACTAAAGTTTTAAAAGGATAAATGGAATAACTCATCATAATTGTAGGCTTTGTAAATTATTATTAAACATGAACAGATCTGACCAACAACAAGCAATGAAAGACTAACACAGACCAAACCCAGAGACTAATATAATGTATAATCATGCTATACTGAATGTCTTTTGTGTATGTGGTCTCTCTGGTCATTTTCATATCTCCTCTTAAAACTCAAATGCCAGAACCATTTTTTAAGTGTTTGACTACATAACCATATAAGTAGCTTCTCTCAAGTTAATTAACTGCTTCTATAATGAGGGGTTTTCTGTAGTCTTGAAGTGGGGTCTAAATATTCTACAGAGCATAGAGATTTCACCTCTCACTATAATGAAATCAACTAGCTTATGAAGGTCGGGGTTTTTTTAAATACTGTTTTAGCATCAGCAATAATACAGCCATTTAGTTTAGCTAAAATTTCTTTTTTTTTTAAATGGAAGAAGTGAAGAAACTTTAGTCAGGAGAACTACTGTCATAATCCATCGCTCCCTGGAATTATAGTATATAGGTACAATACTTACTTTTAATGCATCTTTGACTGCAGTTCTACCTTCCTTTCCAAGGAAAACATTATAGGGGTAAAGCCGGTCAATAACATGCTGGACTGACATCATAGGAAAGGAATCCTTATTCAAATTAAATAATACAAATTAAAAAAAGAAATTATTGGCTCATGCAATCAACAACCATTAACTTGAAAATCTTATATAGTGCTGAGCTTCAAACAAAACTGCAAAGGCAATATATAAATGACCACTACACGCAGCATTCAATCAAATGTCGAAAGAGGCATTACTCAAGTGCAATTCATTATAATATAGATGTCTATAGTAGCTAAGAACCACCAGATCCCAAAAATTACTTTCTTTCCTGTGCATAAATGGAAGCTACAGTAACTGGCTCAGATACCTAAAGACACTTGAAGATTGGAGAGACAAATTCCACCACAGGTAACCAAGTTTCATAGTACTACTAAAAAAGAATCAGTATGACAAGAAATCTATATTACAGTAACAATCTACTCATTCGCAGCAATTTCTAGTGTTTAATTTTTATTCTATCACATTGTACAGATTCTACTTAAGTCAATTCTTAGAAATTTCTGAACTCATTGATCAAAACTGTTTTGTTTTGAAATTAAATACTAAGTCTACTTGCACTTTCCATACAAAACTGAAAACAATTTTTTTTACTATCTCCTTGTTAGTTACAAGTAGTACATTTTTTGTCAGTTGCTGCCTGAACTAGACAAAGATTCGATAATTTTGCTGCAGTAGTGGAGAAAAAAATGGAAATGCATATATGAATACTCAAGAAACATATGCATAAAGCCTTTCATGGTGGAAAAATGTATTTCAAAAACCCTAAAGTAATGCTTGATTGTTTTAAAAAAGACTTGCAAATTTTTAAGAACTTCTTGTGTGTAACAGTAGCAAAAAATAGTCAGAGGACTAGCACTACTTTTTAAGCCTTCATCCAAGTAAAAAGTAAATTACGTAATTCAAATTAAATCAACTGATTTTTAGTTATACACTTGGATTTCAATAGGCACCAACTGAAAGAAGAGTTGCTTAGAAATTAAGCCAGGACATGCATATTTTATGAAATGCATAATTCAATTTATACTTATAATCAGTAATACTATTTATAATGTTCCATATTTAAAAAAGATCAGTAAAAATAAACCATTTAAGTCACTGTAATAAATGTCCTGCTTAAAGGATCAGGGAGCCCTTTATTGCATTTTAAAAGCGCTCTGTCTGTATATAAAGACATAAGATATAATTTGTCCATATTATCTCAAACTAATAATAATTACAATGGCATGTATGAAATTAGCCTCTTCAGAACAGCACCCAATGAAAAAATTCTCCTTTTCAGCAGGCAAGAGTTTTCAGCTGAAGAAATACATTTGGGACTGTTTGAATCCATGATAGAAGAAGCTAGTCATTACAACGTATTCCCTTCACACTTTTAAACAAGTAAATCAACCAAACTAGAAGTAGAGGATGGCAGTGACCCAGCATGTGAAGGAAAAATGTTGTAGCTAGAATCACTGAGAATAGTCAGCTTAGAAAAAACAAGTGATTAAAACTAATTCTAAAAGAAACAGTTCTCGTCTACCTAAAAAAGACACTGTCATACAATGATAACACTTCATATTCTCTAATGTAAAATAAAATGCTTCCTTCATTCCATAGTTTAGATAATAGCTTAAGGCTCATTTTCTTTCCATTACTCTGAAAGCCATCTGGCATTCATTTAAAAATAATTTTTCACTACAGAGCTCAAAGAATAAAAAGTTACAATTTATTTTAAAATCCAACACATATTTCTTTCCTAAACCCCTTCAAATACCATTTCGTTTCTGTAAATCTGAATTTTAATCACTTAACATCTGATGCAGTACAGCTAATTCAGAAAAAAATTATGTCTGTAAGTATCGAGCACAACTGAGAGGGCTTACATAACAAGTATTGTTATGTTTTAATGTATATCCAGTAAAATACGTAGAAGTAATCTGCGGCTGAGCAGTACCATAGGTAAAATGACTGCACAGGAGACAAAACAGAGAAAGTCCTCTCTACAAACACCTGGCACCTTGCAGAGTGGCTTTTAGAAGCTCTCCTGGTATTTTCCCCTCCTGTGAAGACTGTAAGACTCTATCTTCCAGCACATAAAACAGCCCCAACCCCTCTCTGTCTTTATACAGATCTCATCTCCCTGACTTCCTTCAGGAGGCATCTTCAGTTTTTACTTTGACTTTTCACTATGCAATCATAAAGTCCAAGGAACAAAAGCCTGTCAGAAAACAGAAAGCCTGCCTCAGCTGTAGTCCTGACCTGACTGATCTGCCACTTCGAACTCAGCAAAGTGCAGTAGTTATATTTCCCTATTGTGGTCTGTAGCTCTCAGAAAGTACTGCATCTTCAAGTGTGCACAACCTGGATCTTCAGGTAACCCTCTATGACTATGATTATTCTAAAATCCACCAGCCAACCCAAAGACCTAACGTAGGCTTCATCTCATACAATTTAACTGTCTCACATACCCATATTTGAATATGGTTGGTTTGGGTACTTTTTGGTGTCAATGGAGAATAATAAGGTCTCTGTAACGCAATCAATCTGATTTTGCATACTATTAAATCAGAAGCACTTTTAGGTGGCGATTTTTATTTCTCTTCACTGACTATGTCAGTGTCATCAGGTAAACTATAGATGTATCTGAAGTCAGTTAAGTTGATTTAGCAGAATAAAACCCATTTTGAGAACTAAGATACACTTAATCACATCACGAATCTTCCATCATGCCATATTTTGTCCTTTACTATTATGCCATATGCTTGGTTGAAGTATTATCCAGAGATACCTGACCAGGGCTTTTCTCCCTCAAACCATCCTTAGGTTTTTTCAGGTTTATTTTTTGAATGTTAATCTTCTTCTAACAACACGAATAATCCAAATCTAATTTTAAGACATTTTAAACCCATACAGTTTCACAGCACATGTGTATGCACATACCAAAATCTGAACTGCAGCCGATAAGCTGTCTAAAGGAAAATCTGGAAGTCCCAGTGTAGAAGATTCTTGAGAGCAGAGAGTTGTAGCAAAAGACAGGAGCTGAGAAATTCTGCATAGGAAAATATAATTACACAGTTTTATACATGCTATCTATATTTAAAATACTAAAGTCTAAAAAGTTAAATAGAGTATAAAATGCTGAAACTATTTCTGAGTGCAAATAAGAAAGGTGTGATTGAAGTTCTAAAGCCTTAAGGATTCATTATATGAAGGCTGCATATGAAAAGCTCTGTGAGCACACACCCACACACATTAAAAAATTTCTTTCAGTTCTGGTCTCTATGCAGTGAAAGAAGACACAAAAATAGCAAGGAATCCTGAAAGGACATCACTTTTCTTCATTCATTCCATTTTTATTTTTTTTAATTATGAAAAAATACCTCTCTGTGGAAATGTTTGATCCAATTGAATATAATAGCTGAAGATGGTCCTGAAAATAGAACACAAAATCACAGAGTAAATTAATGTGGGGATCAGACTGTAGGTCACAGCTCATGATGTACAATTTCTATTTTTTCCTCTAATTTAGGCATGTGGATTCTACTCGCTCCTTGACACAGAATTAATTTTATTTAAAAAATAAATAAATAAGAGAAGAAAGATTATCAAATCTTTCTTTGGGTTACATGTTTTATGGAAGTTATTTTTCTGCTGTGACGTTCCTTGGCAACAATAAACCTGCTTTCCAGGAATTTATTAGGCCCCATTATGAAAAATGCCCTTTCAGATAAATTTATTACTCAAGGATTCTTGAGGTAAGTAAAACATAATGTCAAAACATTAGCTCTACTCAGTACACATAATCCGACCCTTCTGCTAGCTAGGACACTTACCTTAAAGGGCAGATGATAAACATCTCTAGCTTGAAATCGAGACCGAAGGGGAGGATCCAAAGGGTTACCAGAGTATTTGGGTACTGGCAGGCCCAATGCTATCACTCGAAAATCTTCACTAACCCGAACAATCTTCCATGCATCTAACTCTGATTTTGTATGACTCTAAATTAATTAAAGCAACAAGAACAGAAAAAGAATACATCATTAAAACTTTATGATGGCTAAGCTGCAGACTGACTAACAAGTCATCCAACCCATATGTGGCAATGTTCTCGTCTTTCACTCAGGGGAGCTAGAAAGGACTGAACTAGTCAAATCTGTGGCTGGTAAAAGCAAGTTTTAAAAAAATGAACATAGATAGAATGCTTGATTAAGTGCAGCTTTTGGCCTGTAGCAATTTGACTGAAGATGATCAAAGCTGAGAAGGTATCATTACAACACTGATTTCACAAAAAAAACCCAAAAAATAATTTTATCCTAAAACATTAGAAGTGGGTTACCATGAGCAGGTTTTCTTCTTCTTTTTTCCCCTCCTACAACTGCAAAAGAGACTAAAATCTCCATTTTAAAAGTTTCATTTACAAATTACGCTTTATTATAAGTAAGAACACAGAACTAGATATTAAATGTTGTGTTTCACTTATCATATAAAAATTCACTGCACACAAAAAATGCACTCCTTAGTCTTCCCACATCACAGTTATGTCTTCCTTGAAACCATACATAAGTACATTTCCTGCAGATCTAGATGTACAGTAATTATTCACACAGGAGAAGAGAAAAAGAACATTAGCTTATATAATACAATATTCCCCAAACAACAAAACAAGAATATTAGATTTAGCATTGTAGCGAGAGATTTATTTAATTCATATACTATTAGCAGTGTGCCTGAGGCACTTATTTTGAAACATTTTATCATTAGCAAAAGTGTTAAAAAGGAAAAAAGAAAAGAGGAACATGTTTTGCATAATTGCAACCAAATCCTATCTAAATTTGAATTCTCATTTTCAGTCTTTAAATACAATTACATTTTAAAAGCTCACATTTAAAATATAATGATAATGCTTCCAACAACTGCATCTACTAATTAAAAATCAGGAAAATGTTTTGGGAAAAGGCATGGATCAGAAGAATGATGAGAGATGATGAGAGGCATAAGAAATAATGATATATTTTCAGAAATCCACTACACTTCAGCATAGTTGGCAACTTCATACAATCAGGATCAATGACAGAAGGGTTATTGCAAACTTCCTTCCTGTCCACTTGGGTCTGAATTACGTACTTTACCACTGTTATGTATGACAGACGGAAACATGAGCAAGCAGGTGTCAGACTGTTAGGAGAGACTGACAGGTATGTGATCAGAAGCTATGGTACATGAAAGTAAGATGCAGAGTACTACTGAAAACTGTTTGATGAGATTTATTGAGGACCCCAAAAGCCTGAAAAGTATCCACTCAAATTTAAGCAGTAGGACTCGAAGTCCAAAAAAAAAAAAAGGAAAATGGCTAAAGCAGCAATGGCAGCAGATGCTAAAATCCCTTTTCCTATCAAAAGAAAATTCTCTAACCATTTCCTATAATTTAGATTGGCTGTTTACATATACTTTTGTAAATTAAAGGCAAGACAGCACTAAAGAATATAGTGTTGCTCATCTTGACCTCATTTTTTTTGGTATCCTACCATTTTAAAAGCTTAGCAACAGGGCTATGGCAATGCTGAAGCATTATCTGAACTTCATGTGAACAATTTCAATTTAAATCTATTTTCTCAAGTATATTTTAGTTACTCTCACATTGTGGCTTTCACATTTTAGAAGCACACAGGCTTCATACAACATTAACATTGACTACTCTTTTTCATGTGGACAGAGAAGATAGAGACGAAAACTTTCTGTTGTTCTTGCAAGCAGCAGTCTGACTTTTCACACAGCTTTCACCCTGCCTATGCCATCCTATGTAACATCCCAGAAAAAAAAACCATAAAAGCCTTGATGGAAATTTCCTCCATTTGACTAATAAGTACTCTCTCCTTCATAACGGTATTCTACCACTACCAAGAACATGAAAAAACCCATGTAATATCCAAACAGCACTTCCATACCTGCAGAAGTTTGTCATAACGCTCTGCAGACATAAGAAAACGACCATCTTCAAGCTGCATTTCTCTATTCTCCAGTAAATTGTTTAACACTGGCAGGACGTTGCGCTCAGCCTTCTCCAAACCTTCCAGCACAAGGATTCTGCCTTCAGTAGCTGCACGAACTGCACACTTTTAAAATATACAAAAATAAACATTACATAAACATTAAATCCTCCTGAAAAAGAACCTCCAGATGCTTCCTAAAACAGTATTTATTTCTGTAAGAATCAATAAGATTCACATCAGTAGTAATCAGGCAGAGTGACAGCTGATTGCACTACTGCTACACATCGATGAGCTAGACTTTTATAGAATCACAGAATGGTTTGGGTTGGAAAGGACCTTAAGATCATCTAGTTCCAACCCCCATGCCATGGGCAAGGACACCTTCCACTATCATAGGGACTGACAGAAATAGGTTCCAGTATTTTATACTGAATAAAATGTAAAACCTCACAAACATTTTAGTGTATACCCACTACATATTAATATGTGGCAGCCTTTCTTTTTGATGTTACGTAATATTTTGTATTATCAGGTACTTTAATGCCATCTAAAAATTCTGCAACAACTATTTATACAGCAAACATACAACCAAGGTGGTTTATCCTATTTACCATTCTCATAAAATATTTAGAAAAAATAGTCAGGTATTGTCTTGGATTGCTCCTGTTATGCATCAGTGAAATTCATCCTCAGTACATTGCTTTAGTCTGACTAGAATACAAGTTTACTGAAACCAAACATGGATGATAAAACCAAAATAGTGCTATAAATAATCAGACATTTAAAAATGTGATAAAATTATAAATATTTAGAACTATATTCCCTCAGTGAACATGGTCTTCTACAAAACCAGAATAAAAATATAGCCATTAACTTGATAATCCTTTGGAGCCTTTGGGATAAAAAGTTCTTTTCTGTATTTCACTTTATTAGTTGATTATATGTGGCTGTTTATTTACACACATAACGTGGAGCCAAAATGTAAAACTAAACTCTGGCACCGGTAATTTTGCGCAACTTTCTTGCAGTCAATGGCATTCACTCAGGTAAATTAACTACACTTTGTATCTAATATTCACAATTATTGTCCAGTAAAAGACATTGAAATTCAGTGCTTTCTTGTCTACTTCCAATTTGCAGAAGTTTAATCAGATAATTAAGGGGCAGATTTAGGCACAGGCAACATTTAGAGGCACCAAAGAGTCTTCCTTTGCATTTCTATTACATTTTAACACAATTTTAGACATAAGCACAGCTGCAAAGGGAGAATAAATGAAGTCTCCTCCCATCACATCTCCTATGAACTCTTACAGAAGAACCTTTCATGTAACACTAGATGTGAATCTCTGATGAATACGATACGTGTCAAAAACTGGGCCAGAGAGAAAGGAAGATATTTAAAAAAAAATAATGAAGAGTACCAGAATACAAAAATAACAACAAAAAATTACGTATCAAAGCAGATGCATAAAGGACAAAAGCATAGGCATAAACTAGAAGCAAAGAAGAGGTCAGCACAACAAATTAATTGCTACGTGGTACAAAGCATACAACAGAATTCGAGATCTATTTGAAAAGATAAAGAAAGCACTAAATGATAAAACTAACTAATTTAGATGCTCCTTATGCATAGTATAGAAGCATAAATCACTACTGGCAAATTAACCATAATGTAAGCTTTTCACATTGTAATTAAGATGGAAATAAAAAAGGCACTCACAAGTCTTGGTACACATCTCCAGATCAAGCTCCCTTCTCTGAAAGACAACATTTTAATATCTAGCCTCAAAACCAGTATCTGAGGACCCTGGAGTAATCCATTAAAGAAGTAATAGTGCTCAGATTACTTCTCTTCCAATTCTTTCAAAAAGAAATCAGTATGTGAATTGACCTTTTTGTTGTTGTTAATTCAGGACATCATACTCCACTAACAGGCAATATAAAATTCCTCTCTCCCCAACCCATAGCATTTGTACAAAGGACAAGTGTTGTACTAACATTCTTCTCTAGGAAGGTCACTGGTGAATTCAAAAATCTGCTCCAACCTGCTTGAATAGAAAACCTGACTGTCCAGCAGCCAGTCCAATACCTGGCACGAACAAAATGCTATTTTGTCTAAATGCAGTTTGGAGATACAGCCAGAACATGCTTTAATAAACAATTTATTTGCCAAGTTCTTGGATTCTGCATATTGTAAGTCTATGAAGACTTTATGACTGAGTTTTACTAGCCAGAGGAAAATACACATTCAGTTCATATGGTTTCAAAATATTTTGAGTATCCATAGAATCCTGTTGACTCACATTGAGACATGGACACTATGGACGAAAGCTTGCTGAAACAGCAGGCTTCTAGAATCAACATGAATCTCTCTCACAAACTTGTACATGAAGGCAATCTGCTTTAGGGGTAGGCAGCAAATACGGGGATGTATATAACAATCGTTAACTTCAAGAAAGAATATGCTCTTCATTAGCAGTACAATCTTGAGAAGCAGCCTACTGCACTATGTTGCCTGCTGTTTATCAGTTTACAGGATCAAAATATATAAAAAGTACACAGTTTCCAGAGCTTGGAAACTATTCGAAGTTTTTATTATTCAAAAGTCTACTGCTCAGTACAATAGTATTTCAAAAGGTATGCTACAGATGGTCTTTGCCTAGGTCTATGTGGTGTACCTTTTATAATGAGCCTCAGGAATGGCTGAATGCACAACCATGGTTTTTCACTTCTTAATCAAAGATACCTCTTAACACCACCTGGGTGCTAATCTACTCTGGTTTTCTTCCAAATTGTGCTCCTCAGATACCTTCAAAGCACAACTGAAATATCGGAAACTGTTCTCCAAAATACAACGAAATAAATGCACAATTCATCTACCTCTGAAGTGCTCGCGCTAAACAGCATAAAGTCTGCTCTTAAGACCAAAACAGCTACATGTCTCTGGCAAAACTATGGTATTTCTGCATTCTGGTTGGTAATGAGTAATGAGGGTTTTTTGCAACGAACTAGGCATACTACAAGGCATCCTCTGAATCATTTCAGTTTTATCTGTGTATTGATGGATTGGTATGGAAACTAAAATGCATACAAAAAAATCAGAGGAAGGAAAGTAAAAGTTTGCAATCTGTCACTGAAAATTGTTTTTTAAAAATGTTTCCAAGAAATAAATATTCATAATTCTATAATGAAAACTTTGAAATAGCTGCATTGCCTCCCTCTCTCACTAGCCTTGAATGTTTAACACAAAAGACAATTTGAAAGAGGAGTTTATATTGTGCAACACTAATGATAAGCCTGAGATTAAAATTATTAATTCCTGTTAAAAGGCCAAGGGGAATTTGTTAAATGTTTACTTTCAGATTTACTGTAACTGTAGCAAGGGACTATTTTGCTCACCAGAGGAGGACAGATGATGCTGCTGCCTCCCACCCATGCTCCTAGGGCTCTGGAAGGATGGTAACCTGGATACCTGCTCCAAGGAATACCTGCAGCTACTGCAGGCTGGGAGCAGAAACCCATCACACAGTGTAGCTGCTCTCACAGTAATGGCTTTATGAAACAACTACATAACAAAAAATGCTTAATCTGGTTTCACGCTGCACCTACAAAACCATATTTTTATCTTTAAAGGCAAATCACCTTAGGAACAAGACAACCCTATGCAGACTTTCATTGCCTTTTCCTGTAGCTGAATCACAGTGAGCTTCTCCACTTGACAGTGCAAAATACAACAAAACCAGGAAGCTGTAAAACCCAATTCTGACATAAATCAAAGTATATGAACACATGGATGAAGTTATACAGTGTCAGAAAGGGTAGAAGGACAGAGGAAAACTCAGCACAATGCACATACCAAAATGCACAAACACCAGAGAAAGGAGGGCATTTTCATAAAGCTAATCAAAATAGTTTCTAAAAGCACAAGAACCAGAATTGAAATGGTAGTTCTCTTCTCTCTGAAAATGCTTATTAGAAACCAGAAAACTCTGGTTGCCCTGACATCCATGAGGAAAGTTCTCAGGGAACTCTGAAGGGCTTTAATTTTTTAGATCTAGGCATCATTCCGATTATGACATACAGGCCACATTGCAGAACTGTATTAAAATTGCTAGAAACTGCTCAACGGTAATCAGTAATTGTCTCTTTTTCAGAAGCTACCTCAAGTTTGGTGGTTTTTTTTAGAAGATTACTTGCCCCTGCTATGAAAACTGGATCCCTGTAATGACATCTCAAGCACAGCAACCACAACTACAATGTAGAAAAACAATAGCACAAAGTATCTCAGTGAACCTGAGAACTAATGAGGTAAGGTTTCCCTACATCTGCAGCCT